GGGGGTGTGTTTGGGGGGATGAGTGGGGAGACCTAAGGAGTTTACAAACAAGATATCATTCAAGTGAGTTGTTTGTAAAATATGACTCTATTTATTTGGAACATTCTTAGTGCTTCATTAAAATAATGTTTGTGTAACTTACTTAGGCAGAAAGTTAGGAATATTAATTAAAACTGAAATTGTCCTTTTTAACAGGACGAGCAGTCTGCCTATCAGCCAAGATATAATTTACATACAGAGTCATGTAAGTGTTCAGTAAAATATTCTCACTTTTTTGGCAATAATAAAAGCTTCTATTATTCCTGGTGTTTTACTCAAGGTTAACTGTCACTGCCTAGTTTTTTGTTGCACCGTTGTGTTTTTGGCGTTTTGGCTCTTGCTAGCTCTCCTAAGCTTCCATTGTTGTTTCAATGACTTAACAGAAACATGGTTAATGTGTTCTATACATTGTATTTCTTAAAAGCTCTCTTGTGCCCTCTAGGGAACCAAAACTGTAACTGCAGACCATTTCCAAATTACCTTGTACCTCTGTTTCAAAATGAGTCTTCAAGCAAAAGCTTTATGTGAAAATGAGTTTGATTCACAAGAAAATGAACCTGTCAGGGAACATATTTTCATATGAATGGTTTCATGCTGACTTGTTTTGACATCAAAGCCTATTACATCCTGAAACAACACCCAGACATGATGACGTCATGACTCTTGAGACATTGAGCAGCAAAATAATGTCTTTCATTTGAGTGGAAAAACACACGCTTAAAAAAAAAATTATTCTAAAATTTTACTGACCCCATGGGAAAGATTTAGTTTTGTTTCTGCTCGGCCATTCTTTAAAAGTACACACGTTTTTCTTCTATGGTCAGATAACAGTGGTTCATACAGAGAGATCACTGCAAGAAAAGAGGTGGGGAATTTCATTGATAATTCCATCACGTTTTTTGTGTTCTTTTTCTTTTGATGCTGCAGTGTTTGCAGCAATTTGTTGTGTTGTCACACAACGCTTCTGCCTTGCCAAATGCGCTGCGTGACAAGTGCTGATTTGACACTTAGTTTCCATTATGTTACTTTTACGTTTATGTTTCGTTTTGTGACATATATTTTCATTTCACCTGTTTTTATTTGAAGGAAAGTCTGATTGAGGCCCCACGAGAAATAGGCAAGTATTGACTGTTCGTTGTTCCTTACATGAAGTCTCCTAACAACTGCCTCAAAAGGTACATGTACTTTGTTTTACTTCCTCGCGACTGACAAACTGTGGTCCTGGCATGCCTGATCATATTGGAACTTACAGATGTCCGTTTTTGTAGGCATCACAAGCTGGGGTAGTGCGTGTAAAACTAAATTGCTTAGGATTTTCATGAAGCAAAATAATTGCATCCGTTCCATATTTGTTGCTCATAGCAGGGATAATGCTACTCCTTATTATAATCTTTAAGAAATTTTCAAACTCGAAAATATTTACAAATTTAAAGTAGGTCTCTTTACACAAAAAAATTAAATATGATTCAAAAAGCATCCCGGCGATATTCTCTGGAACACTAACTTTTGTTTCTGAAGTCCATAGCTTTAACACTAGATTTTTTACGAACCTCACCTTTTACAGGTCACAAATAAATAATAATTATGGTGGTGCTGCTTTTTCCTTCGTTACAGTAACATCAAAACTATGGGAAACCACTCCAACTGAGCTAAATAACTATCTTATACCCATTTCTACAAGAAATACAGACTGTACCTGTTAGATTCTCAAGCTGTTTCTTAAGAACAATTTGTTTGATTACACGCCCTATTATTTTGTTTACATAATCATCTATCTAATAAGTAATTTACATAATACACTTTGCATTGTTTTTAGTTACATAAGCATATTGTCTATGCTAGTTAACTTAACGTGGTAATGACCAAGCCGAAAGCCTTAGCTACTTTGGTCACTGCGCACATTTACTTTCTATTTATTGTAATATTAAATTTTGTTTGGGTGTTCTTGTTGTTAATATTATGTTAGAATAATTATTTCTTTATACATTGATTTTTAAAACCCTGCATAGATCATTAATTTGAGCAACTGATGTACGTCAGCAAGTGCTTAGTTCTTAATTGTACTTGAAAACGTGTTTCTCTTATGCTTTTTGCTGCCTTTTGTAGGTTCGAGAGCTCCCTTAGACTTGCAGGAATACGATAGAGAAGTTGACCAGAAACCCATGGTAAGTAGGGTAGGGTGAGTCGAGGGGTAAGTAGTGCAGGGTGGAAAGGCCGCTGACTAGCATTGGCTCGAGTCTAACTTGACCTAAATGACATTTATAATGTGAAGTTGTTCGCCTAAAATTTGGGATAACTGCTTTAAGAACTCACGCTGCAGCACAAAAGCGCGCGGCGTAGCCGCGAGCGCGAAATCGAGCGGCGAAGTCGCGAGACGAGATAGTGAGCCGGCTCACTTTCTTGGCGCCTCTTCACCAGACTCCTTCCCGCCGGATCGCTTTGCTCTTTGCCGCTCGCGCGC